TCTGGTGTTGGCTTATCGTTGAATTTTGGGACATGTTGTATATAGTATTGTATATGTAGTTGGCAAAGGTAAGTTCTTATGAACTTACCTTTGCCAACTCCACATACTCAAGATAGAGCAAACTCTTTTGCCATGATCATCCCTTCTGAAAAGTTTGTAGCGCTAAGTAAAGATAAAACAAGTTATGTTTATCTACAAGACATAAATAATTGTAAAAATATCCCAACAAATACCTACCTTTGTAATGTTATAGATGTAGCTACAGTATCCACTAATGTACCTACCCTGTGAAATAGAAATTATGACGAAAGCCTTGACATCAATCCCAAATAACTGTCGATTTAGACTAATTTCTAGTGATCTGGATATATGGCATAAGTTAAACAATAACAAATGGATTTTTGTTCAAGCCAAACCCACTAAGATATTAGTGGAGTGTAATAATAATTTAACCAAATACACTCTATCCGGTACAGGCTGAAATTAGAAACTAAGCTCTACCCTAGTATAAATGTTCCCGGAATATATTCGGATTTTAATATAATTAATGATAGTTGTTGTAAATAACTTTAACAAAATTTCAGTTAACCTTACGTCTTCTATAAATGTAAAAACTTTGAATTTAGAAAATTTTAAATCTTATAACACCGATTCCGATCAGATTATCAAACGACTAGACACCCTAGAAAGTCCAAATTTGTATAATATTAGTTTCTCTATAATAAGTCTTATATCTGTAACACTTTGTATTTCTATTATAACCTATATAATTTGTAAGAGAGGAAAATCTTTCAGAGAGCATTTTAATTTTAACAAAGAAAATACAGAAAATCATCATGACTCTGATCAACCACAGCTACGCATAGAGTAGCCGTAAACTCACTCAAGGGTGAGTTTCCTCTTAACGGGGGGGTTGTTATAGATCCCCTTTTAATAAGGATCCGCTGACACAAAGCACACAGTTAGCACTCTCTTAGTAGCTTCAATACTTTCTTATTTCAATACGAGCAATACCAGTCAGTCCGTCAAACACTTTTTTAAAAGACATTTCGTAAAGCCTCGTATAACAGATCGTTCTCCTTCTCTCTAACCTTCACGACGCGGAGCAACTGGTTTTATATAACGGGTTTGAGTAGGGCTCTCGTACCTTTTACAGAGGGTTACGTCTTGCGATGCCGACTCCTTTGGTTTAATACTCAAAGTTTTACAATGACAAAATAAATAGTACTAGTCGTGAGCACCAAATGACAACATTTGAGCGTGTACATTTTCCAGGCAATATACTGCAGGCGATATCCAATGATATCATGATATCCCGGACGTCAGTCTGAGCGAGATTAGAATGGCTCTCCAGCACCTTAAAAATGGCAGGGCCCCAGGCGAGGATGGAATTACAGCGGAGCTTCCGAAAGCGGGTGGAACACCGGTACTTGAAGTCCTTCAGAAGCTCTTCAATTCCGTCCTCCATGGTGGCACTGCTCCGGAGGCGTGGAGCAAAAGTGCGGTGGTCTTGTTCTTTAAGAAAGGCGACAACGCTCTCTTGAAGAACTACAGACCGATTTCCCTTCTGAGCCGCGTCTACGTGCTGTTTTCGAGAGTCATTACGAATCGTCTCGCACGCAGACTCGACGACTTCCAGCCTCCCGAACAAGCCGGTTTCCGAAAAGGCTTCAGTACCATAGGCCACATACATACCCTTCGGCAAATTGTACAGAAGTCCGAAGAATACAATCTGCCACTTTGCCTGGCGTATGTGGACTATGTGAAAGCCTTTGATTCCGTCGAAATTTGGGCGGTGCTACAGTCCCTTCAGCGGTGCCAAGTTGATTGTCGGTATATCGAGGTGCTGAAGTGTTTGTACAGTAGGGCTGCGATGGCTATCCGAGTACAGAACCAGAGTTCGAAACCTATCCAACTGCAGAGAGGTGTAAGACAGGGTGACATTATATCCCCGAAACTCTTCACCGCTGCGTTGGAAGACGTTTTCAAGCTACTGGACTGGAAAGGATACGGTATTAATATCAATGGCGAGTACATCACTCACCTTCGATTTGCCGACGATATAGTCCTTATGGCAGAATCGCTGGAGGACCTTAGCACTATGCTCAATGACCTCAATGGTGTCTCCCAACGGATAGGTCTTAAGATGAACATGGACAAAACAAAGATTATGTTCAATGTCCATGTCACACCTATGCCGGTAGTTGTGGGGAGCACTATGCTCGAAGTTGTTGACGAGTACGTTTACTTGGGACAACTAGGTAAGTTCAACTTCGACCGAGAGGTCAATCGACGTATTCAACTCGGCTGGGCAGCGTTCGGGAAATTACGACACATCTTCTCGTCAGGTATACCTCAATCTCTGAAAACTAAAGTGTACAACCAGTGCGTGTTGCCAGTGATGACTTACGGATCAGAGACGTGGTCCTCCACTGCTGGCCGTATGAGGACGCTCAAGGTCGCTCAGCGAGCTATGGAGAGGGCTATGCTCGGAGTTTCTCTGCGTGATAGACTCAGAAATGAGGATATCCGCAGTAAAACCAGTGACCGACATAGCCCAACGGATTAGTAAGCTGAAGTGGCAATGGACCGGCCATATAGCTCGAAGAACCGATAATCGATGGGGAAGAAAGGTTCTCGAGTGGCAGCCTCGTACCGGTAGGCGTAGTGTAGGGCGACCCCCCACTAGATGGAGTGAAGACCTGGTAAGACATGCAGGAAGTCGATGGATGCAGGTGGCTCAGGACCGTGCTTTGTGGCATTACTTGGGGGAGGCCTATGTTCAGCAGTGGGCTTGTGAAGGGCTGTAATGATGATGATATCCAATGAATGAGGAAGATCAAGTAACAGACAAGTCACATGAAAGAGTATTTACAGTACCCACCCGGCGCTCTTTTGTACTTGACCAAACAAGGAGCCTATAAATCGACTAGTGTGGACAAGGCTGTGCTCACGACTCGTGCTATTACGACTTTTTTTTACTGAAAACGAGGCAGAGGCATTCCATTTTAGTCCTCAGAATTTTGATTCTTAATCGAGGATAAATAATAGATGTCTATGGGCCACAGCGTCCACTTACCATCAGGTGGACTGTGTACTCGTTTGTCACCATTATTCTATAAAAAAACGTATCCTATATGTAAGATATAAAATACCTAAACTGCACTTTTTTCACATCAGCCGTAGCCAAAGTGCACGAGTTAGGCTTCGAGCTACTTACTTCCCCACTCACTATATTCCCCAGATGTAGCCCCATGTGATTATTTCTTAATCTAAAAAATAGTCCACCCTTAATACTTTGAATATCTAGTATGTAGTGTAGAGGTAAGGCGTACAGACTCTGTATAAAAAGTGTCCGTAGGAAAGCGTTAAATAAGAGTGGCGCCACTGTAGCTACAGTCTAAATACTTTTTTTATTGCACACTCACCAAAATTCTTTTTACAATAATTATTTTATTGCTTTCAAAACTTTTGTTTTCAAAATCACTCTCAACGTATTTTACGGCGATTTATCATACCCTGTAGCTACTAGAGCGCTGTAGTGGAGTTTTTGAACTGTTATTTACTGCTTACAGATGGACACATTTTCAACTATTCTCCTATGGGAGATTGTCCTTCTTACCTCTATACTCCATGATACCTAGTTAAAAATGTATGTCAAATAAGGCGAAATTATACAAAATCCATACTATTTAAAAATACTTTATTGTAAAATATATATCGTTTATAACACATGGACATAATATATATTCCATCATAATTCAACAAAACTGTTAAAAGATTAAGGCACTTTCATAATCTATCTTATCACCATGATTACTATTACAAATATAAAAACCGCTAATAAAATTATTTTATGGTAGATATCTAAATTTAAAAAAATATATAAATAACTATATAGGGATATTAATATTTAATACCAGTAAAGTAACTTACGACTATAACAAAACATTATCAATTGTAAGTTTAGTAAACTACCTACAACCTTTAAAAATAATCAACTTATTCTCAAATACATTAACTAAATGGACCTTTACTTAAAGTACTACTAAAATATTTATCTGCAAAAATAAACTCGTTTAGAAAACATTAATATTAAATATAAAATGTTGCACATGCCTCAAAGCAATTGGAGTAGTCTTTTCAGTCAAATTTACCGTAACACATTGTTATATTTGCCTTAATATCTTTAATCTTGTAGTTTTTCTAAACTACAATGTAGTGTAGTGACGCAGTGACTAATAATCTGACTACCGGATAAATAAAAAAATAAAAAAAAGTAATAAATAAGTAGTATATATTTAAAAATAATAGTATATAAATAATAGTAAAAATAAATACATAGCAGTAATACATTTTAATATTAATATGTATTAATAAGTTTTATTTGGGTTGCGGGTAAGAGTTTACTTACACGCACTCGTTTTTTTTTCTCCAAACAGAACTTCTCAAATAATGCTCAATGACAATAGAAGGTTAACAGGTTTTCAATTACTTCTTTTTTAAATATAATAATCGTATTATGTTTATATTAATTATAAAGTACTGCTGGTTCTATGATCAATAAAAAACACTATTATAATCATAATAAAATTTTGATCGAGATTAAATATTTTAGTACAGTGATTAACACTATAATATTACTGATCCGTTTAACAGTGTTGCCATAAAATAATTTATTGTTATATAAAGAAAAAAAATTAAAAAAGGAAATATATAACTATTATTTTTTACATAAATTAAGCGTAACGGAATCCACCACTCCTTATCATGCAGTGGGTGTTAGCATTTTTTGATAACAATTGTTATATAATAAAAAAAAACTTGCGTTTGCCAACCAACCTGCCAAACGTGGCAACTGACTGAAATGACATCCTTATTTTTAGCAGTGGATTTTTGACAGACTAACAAATGAATAAATTGATTGATTCGCATACGATGCACTGTGAATAGAAGAATATTCTGCACATAATATTCAAAATCTGCCCGTGATATTGGTTTTAAATGGCACCATTGTTGTCACTAGCAACTTGCGCTAGAATATGTTTTATGATTTGATCAATGGTATGCGTGTCAAGCATGCGGGTGATGTTTTTATCCTCAATGACGTAGACGAATAAATGCTTGGCGTTTTCTCGCAGGCGCTGCACTCTGGTCCACTTGTCGCGATCCGCGGCGCGGGCTCCGCAATGTTCTATTACTTTTTCCAACATCTGAAACAAAACCATATAAAAGTAAAAGTAACGTTACAGCCTATATATATATATATATATATATATATATATATATATATATATATATAAAATACGTCCCACGACTGGGCACAGGCTCCGCTCATTTGAGGTGGTAGGGAAAGAAAAACCCCCCCATGTATCAGCACTTAAAAATGCAATTAACAATTTTTCATTCGTGCCGACGAGGATCGAACCCGGTTTGCTCGCGTACTGTGAAATTTACAGCGAAGCTATCCATCTGAGCTACCACGTCTATGAAAAAACATATAATATAATGTTTATTACGAGACTTTTACTGGCAGTAGCTGATGTTACTAAAAGTAAAATAGGCTACTTTTATTTATACAAATATATAAAATTAAAGTGTCTGTTTGCAATGTCAAAATAACAGCTTTTTACTAAGTATATAATACAGTACTTATAAGAAAAAAACATTTTTTTATTTTTTTGTCTCTCTGTCTGCCTGTTCCGGATAATCTCCGAAACGTCTGGAGCGATTTTGACGGCTTCTCCACCGACAAAGAGCTGATTTTAGAGGGAGTAACTCAGATTACTTATATTTTAGAAAAATCGTTAGCGTTTCGCGCTAAAAAATTAAAACCCATGATATCCAACCGTAATAAATTCGACGCGGATGAAGTCGCGGGGAACAGCTAGTAAACTAATCTACAGTTATCATGAAGTGGTAATTCTGATCTCAATCACATGATACATAACAGTGTAACAGACGCAAATATCTTTTAGCTAAAACAAACCATAGAATACTATAATACACAATAGAATGGCTGTCAACCTTATTTTGTACGACGATAGGCGTCACCGGGAGCACACATACAAGCAATAACGTTGTATTATCACTACTACAAACCTGATTCGCTGTGTTGACAGACAGATTTTAATACATATTTATTTGTAAATAGCGTGCAATTTGACATTTTCTAAATAATTTGCATGCGAAATTTGGAAACTATTGTAACGTCAAAACACATCTCGTATTGACGTTTATACGTGTGAATTGACGTGTTAGTGACACTTTAGTGGCTACGCGAGCTCCGCCCACTCCCCTGTTCTATTACGTATGTATTATAGTATTCAATGAAACAAACGAACTGCGAAGAAGAAAAGCATCAAGGGGAGAGATATCTGCTATTGTGATTATCGATAGGGTAGTTGACACTCATGATAATGATTATTGCAATAGTTTTTTAAAGCTGTAAAAATGAAAATGTTATGGGTATCGGGTATATTGCCGAACAACTTTTCCACACTTTTTTTATAAGATAGGGTTACATACAAGCATACAGTCCACCTGATGGTAAGTGGTTGCTGTGGCTCATAGATATCTACATATATCCTCGATTACGAATCAAAATGCAGATGCGTTGTCACCCGTGAGGACTAAGATGGAATGCCTAGTTTCCAGTAAAAAGGGTCTCCGGTTCTCTACACTCACCACACGAAACAAAGCAGCATTAAGCTACCATTTTATGCTGGTATTGTAGAGCGTGCTCCTGCCCCGGTCAAACCGACCTATTCGTGCTACAACTATACTACTAATATAACTGCAGCATAACTCTACCACGTTTCACTTAAAAGGGTTCAAGCATGTAAGCATATAACACAGATGCAAGAAAATGCATTGCGCTGGATTAAACATTTGCTTTAATTAAATGTTAAGTGAAAACGTCTCTGAGTGCCGGGGCAAACTTGTGTCTGAAGTCGAGTCTCTGCTGGACAGAGTCTCGGATTGGGGGCGACTAAATCTAGTACAGTTTAACCCCCAGAAGACACAAGTTCGCAAAAAGAACCCCTTTGTCGTATCCCCTCAGTTTCAAGGCACTCCCCTTGTCAGCCAGTATCGGAATCCTCGGCGTCGACATATCGAGTGACGTGCAGTTTCGTGGTCACTTGGAAGGGAAGGCCAAATTGGCCTCTAAAAAAGCTTGGCGTGCCCAGCAGAGCGGGACAGTATTTCATGCCGGCACACCGCCTGCAACTTTACAAGGCGCAGGTTCGGCCGCTCATGGAATACTGTTCCCATCTCTGGGCTGGGGCTCCCCAGTACCAGCTCCTTCCACTTGACCGCATCCAGCGCAGAGCGGCTCGAATCGTCGACGACCGAGTGATTTCCGATCGGCTCGATTCACTGGCGCTGCGAAGAGATGTTGCATCTCTTTGCGTATTTTATCGCATCTATCACGGGGAGTGTTCTGAGGAATTGTTCGGATTAATCCCAGCCGCCAAATTTCGTGAACGCACTACACGGCAAACGTCCCGATACCATCCACACCATCTGGATGCTTGGCGGTCCACCACTGTACGTTTCAAAAGGAGTTTTCTTCCGCGTACAACCTCTCTGTGGAATAATTTACCACCGGCGATTTTTCCGGACCGATACGACCTGGAGACCTTCAAGAAAAGAGCTTACTCCTTTCTAAAGGGCCGGCAACGCACTTGCAATTCCCCTGGTGTTGCGGTTGATCATGGGCGGCGGTAGTCACTTAACATCAGGTGAGCCACATACTCGTTTGCCCCCTCTTCTATAAAAAAAAGTGTAACTATAATCTTAATTTTAATTAAGTTTTGAAATTTTTTCCTCCATGCTCCGACTGTAACTTCATAATAAGGGCTAATAGTCTTGCGCTTACCAGATGTCGTTATTTGGGACTGAGGTAAAGTAATTTGTTAAAAAAATGTCGTTTTAATTGATAAGTTGCGTTTTAATTACAAGTTTATCGGTTTCTTGAGTATTACGTAAATTCATAAAAAAAATCCCTCAGCGGTTTGCTCACTTAAAATTTTTCTAAGTTTTCTAGTTTTAGGTATATTCGTAGTTTATTTCTAATCAAATAAGAATACAGTTTAACTAATATAAATTAGAGAAAGAAACATTACCCTACATTTTTCAAATAAATTAACTTCCCCACCATGAAATCTATCAAATTCTTAAATATTTCATTTCTCATCACAAACTGGCACCGCTCTGTTGGCAGAAAAAGTCGTCATTGGCTGATGTGATGTTATATTAATAAGTAATCTGTTTGTGTATAGCCCTACACTAATAAAATGAAATCATTACCGTATATATGTAGCATTCTTTTTATAAGTGTAATCTACAAAGTTTTGCACAACGCCCTCTGGTGGTAGCGTAAGAGAAGTCACCACTCCGTTTCGTTCTATAGGTGGCGTAAGAGGCGACTATATTCGTATATGTCAACCGTCTTATTGTTTACGATAGATAGAGGCATAACCATCTCGTTTACGCCAGGTAAAATAACCACACTGACGAAGGGGAGCAACGAGGTGGGATATGCCTGCTATTGTAATCGTGAAGCCGCCTGCTAAGCGCAACGATTAAGACTAAATTCTCTTTACGACGAGAGAGACCGATGTCTTTTTTATAGGAGTTGGGGCACACGAGCATACGGCCAACCTGATGGTAAGTGATTATCGCCGCCAATGAACAACTGCAACACCAGTGGAATTGCTGGCCTTTTAAAAAGGAGTATGCTCTCTTCTTGAAGGTCCCCAGGCCGTATCGGTTCGGAAAAATCTCTGGTGGTAGTCGATTCCAACAAGGAAGTTGTGCGAGGAACACAAGGAAGTTGTTCTTTTAAATCACACAGTGGTGGACCGTCAGTCATCCAAATGGTAGGGATGGTATTGCGAGTTTTTAGTCCGAATTAGTAGGGAATTAGTCCGAAAAATTCCTCAGAGCACTCCCCGTGGTAAATGCAATAAAATACGCAAAGAGATGAAACATATCTTCGCAGTGCCAGTGAGAGAGTGCCGATCGAAAAGAGCTCGGTCGCTGACGATTCGAACGGGTTTGCGCTGGATGCGATCAAATGGAAGGAGCTGGCTCTGAGGAGACTCAGCCCCGAGATGGGAACAGTATTCCATGTGCGCCTTGTAAAGTTGCAGGCGGTGTGCCAGCATGAAATACTGTCCCACTTTGCTGAGCACGCCAAGCTTTGTAGAGGCCAATTTGGCCTTCCCTTCCAAGTGACCACGAAACTGCACGTCACTCGATATGTCGACGCCAAGGATTCCGATACTGGCTGAGGCAACAAGGAGAGTGCCTTGAAACTGAGGGGATACGACAAAGGGGTTCTTTTTGCGAACTTGTGTCTTCTGGAGGTTAAACTGTACTAGATTTAGTCGCCCCCAATCCGAGACTCTGTCCAGCAGAGACTCGACTTCAGACACAAGTTTGCCCCGGCACTCAGAGACGTTTTCACTTAACATTTAATTAAAGCAAATGTTTAATCCAGCGCAATGCATTTTCTTGCATCTGTGTTATATGCTTACATGCTTGAACCCTTTTAAGTGAAACGTGGTAGAGTTATGCTGCAGTTATATTAGTAGTATAGTTGTAGCACGAATAGGTCGGTTCGAACGGGTTTGCGCTGGATGCGATCAAATGGAAGGAGCTGGCTCTGAGGAGACTCAGCTCCGAGATGAATAGAATAGAAATAGAATAGAAACTTTTTTATTCAATGTAGATTATAAAAATACTTATTGAAGGTCACTTTTTTAATTTACCACTGGTTCGCAAAAAAAAACCTCTGTCCTGGGAAGAACCAGCAAGAAACCCAGCGGGACTATTTTTTTCCAATAATAGCTTACAATCATGTTTACAATCAACAACACAAGACAAATTAGAAATAGCTTGGTAGCGATCACCCTTCCCAGGGGTTATTATCATCTATAAATTCCTTAATATTATAATAACCCTTTTTATACAAACTTAGTTTAATAACATTTTTGAACTTTGTGTATGACAAATTTTGTATATTTTCTGGGATTTTGTTGTAAAAGCGTATACATCGCCCCAAGAATGAATTACTGACTCGGTGGAGTCGAGTAACTGGTACTACCAGCTTGTGTCTGTTCCTAGTATTTACAGAATGAATATCACTTATTTTCGCAAAACTACTTTTATTTTTGTGTACGTACATTACATTTTCATAAATGTATTGAGAGGCCAGAGTTAATATATTAATTTCTTTAAATTTTTGTCTCAGTGACTCTTTTGGTTTTAAATTATATATTGCTCTAATGGCCCTCTTCTGTAAAATAAATATAATTTCAGTGTCAGTCGCGTGTCCCCATAGCAAAATACCATACGACATAATGCTATGGAAATAACTGAAGTAAACTATTCTAGCTGTTTCAACACTGGTAAGGGTTCTAATCTTTTTTTACAGCATATGCTGCAGAACTAAGTCTGCTAGCTAGTTTTGATATATGGGGGAGCCATTGAAGCTTTGCGTCCAGTGTGATTCCAAGAAAAATGGTGGTATCAACAAGACTCAGTTCCTCCCCATTTAAAATTACATTAGTATTGACATGTTTAACATTAGGAGTTACGAATTTCATACATTTAGTTTTAGTTCCATTCAAATGCAAATTATTAACATTAAACCAATTGAATAACTTAGCTATAGCATTATTTACTTCGTCGTAATTTAATAACTGTCTTTTTAATTTGAAAATTAATGAAGTATCATCAGCAAATAATACTATATCATGGTTATCCCCTACTATGTAAGGTAAGTCATTAATATATACAAGAAACAGAAAGGGGCCAAGAATTGAGCCCTGAGGCACGCCCATTTGTACAATCGGCCCAGAAGAACTCATACTATTAATAAAAACTTTTTGTGTTCTGTCACTTAAATATGAAATAATTAATTTAAGAGCATCATTTCTTACACCGTAGTGTTGAAGTTTCCTGATTAATGTTTCATGGTGAACACAATCAAAGGCCTTGGATAGGTCACAGAACAAACCCAAAGCATCCTGTGAATTCTCCCATGCATTAAATATATATTTAATCAGCTCAACACCAGCATCAGTTGTCGAGCGACCCCTTGTGAAACCAAATTGATTTTTATGAAGTAATTTATTTACATTAAAAAAAATTAACAATTGATCAAGAATAATTTTTTCAAAAATTTTACTAAGTGTTGGCAGTACAGAAATAGGTCTAAAATTAGCGGGGTCCAATGTACTACCAGATTTAAATAAAGGTATTACTTTACTATGCTTCATTAAATCAGGAAACACACCAGATTTGATACTACTATTAAAAATAATAGATAGTTGAGGTGCGATTGTATCTATTATAGACGCAATAACTTCAACAGAAATCCCCCACAGATCGGCGGTTCTCTTAATATCAATAGTCTTAAAATATTTTACAATATCTTTTGATGAAACTTTATGAAATGTAAAATTCTTTGTACACACATTTACATTTTGTTTAAGTAATGATTCGGCGACGGTAGGAGAAGAATTCAGTGACTTAGTGGTTAAGATCGGAATATCAGTAAAATATTTCTCAAAAATCATTGCAACGTCCTGATCTGATTTAGTTAATTTATTGTTAAAACTTAACTGGTAGTTTGAATTGCGAGAGTTGACCTTACCAGTTTCACTATTAATTATACTCCATGTCATTTTAATTTTATTAGAAGCAGTCTTTATTTTGTTGCTTAAATACAATGACTTGGCTAAGGAGCACACTCTTTTAAATATTTTGGAATATTTTTTTACATATTCCCTAAATTCGACGCTAGGATTATATGACCTTTCATTGTAAAGTTCATATAACCTTTGTCTACTCTTATGGACTCCTACTGTCGCCCATTCATTAAATGCTTTACGATTATTCAAGGAGAGTGTTTTAGAAGTAAAAGTATTATTAAATTCATTGCAAATGAGCTTAAATAATTTTGCATACAAAAAATTTGGATTATTTTGGTATGAAAGTAATGGAAGTTTTTTTACTATGTTACTTCTAAACTTCTCCAAGCGATGTGCATTTACTGGAACAAACACTACTTTTTTATCTACTTGCTTTTTGTGAACATAAGGTAATGAAACAAATTGTCCACAGTGATCAGAGCTCAATTTTTTAATAATACATTTATTGAACGGCTTAACATTTGTAAAAATGTTATCTATACATGTTGCACTAGATTCAGCAATACGTGTTGGCTCCAAAAATAAATTAAAAAGACCATAAGATTTAAACAATGATCTAAATTTAATATTAGTGGAGGAAGCTTCTAGGAGATTGATATTAAAGTCTCCACATATTACAACAGATTTATTCTGTTTATTAAGCTTAGCGAAAACTTCCTCCATAATTTTTTCAAAAGTATCATATAATGAACATGGGGGTCTGTAAACGCTCACAACAATGAGGTGCTCAAACTCAACACATGCCATTTCTACAGTTCGCTCAACAGAGAGAGATGGGAACAGTATTCCATGTGCGCCTTGTAAAGTTGCAGGCGGTGTGCCAGCATGAAATACTGTCCCACTTTGCTGAGCACGCCAAGCTTTGTAGAGGCCAATTTGCCCTTCTCTTCTAAGTGGATTCCGATACTGGCTGAGGCAACAAGGGGAGTGCCTTGAAACTGAGGAGATACGACGAAAGGGTTCTTTTTAGCGGTAAACGCGCAAACTTGTGTCTTCTAGGAATTGAACTGTCTGTTGACTATTAAGTCTACAATTAAACACATAACACATATGAGTATTTACAACATAATTAAAGTAAACTGAGCCGTGATAGTTAAGGGCCTAGCTGTAAATTTCACAGTATGCAGCACTAATGAAATTGATAATTGCAATTTTAATTGCTGATTTATCACGTGCTCCGCAGTGACGGAAGACATCGTAAGGAAACCTACAAATCTGAGAAATAAAAAAAATATTTTGAACACATGTAAAGTTTGCCAATATGCATTGAGGTAGCACGGTGGATATTTCCTCCTCCTAAACCTTCTCAGAAATGAGAGGAGGCAGGACAGTGTGACGTATATAGGCTGTAACTTTAGTTAAAGTAAACCAACACACCGTGTCAACAGTTTCGTCTGGCCAGCCGAACACATCGAGGGTCTTCTTATCAATAAGCTGTTCAAGTAACTTTTTGAGGCTTTCTGCAAGTTCTTCCTCTGACATTAATGGATTATCTTCACTCTGAAATAAACAAACATAAAAATTATTTTTGTTGATAAAAACTTTGCTATTGGCCAAATATATCTGGTGTTATATTGTATAGGCAATGTTGTACTAACTTTCTGGTTTAGACTTACATATAGATAGCACTGGCCAATTTAATATTTACCAAAAAGTATTGGGAAAGTTATTTATACATCTTAAAAGGAAAAGGCACTTCATTGATGTATGCTGTAACTGCTTTTGTACGTGGTAGAGCCATGCTACAGTTATATTAGTAGTGTAGTTGTAGCATGAATAGGTCGGCTTGACCGGGGAAGGACCACACTCTCACAGAATACCAGCATAAAATAGTAGCTTAATGCTACTGTGTTTTGTATGGTGAGTGTAGAGAACCGGAGACACTGTTTACTGGAAACGAGGCATTCCATCTTAGTCCTCACGGGTGACAACGCATCTGCATTTTGATTCGTAATCGAGGATACATGTAGATGTCTATAGGCCACAGCAACCACTTACCATCAGGTGGGACTGTGTGCTCGTTTGTCATCCTACCCTATAAAAAAATGCTGTCTTCAAATATTACTCAATCAGCGGAGTGCACCACATGAATTTCAATCACATGACGCACTCCGCACAAAGAGTGAGCCTTGAACGACCATTTATTGTTCACAAATCCATACAAAAATGTCCATACATACACAAACGAAAATCACACAAACAGGTATTGAGAAGCTTCTTGGGTTTCAGCTCTCCTCGGAGCACTTGATTCATTGTTTCCACTAACAGTCCACTGGCGCAGATATTTATAATACAAAATCACACCACTTTACATATCTTAATCAACTTTAAATCATTATTTAAACGATAACATAGCAGCAGCAACCTACCGGCGGTTAAGTTGTCGTCAAAACTACTATAACGCACTAACGCTGATATTTTGCTTCTTTTTTTAATAGTCAATAGAACTCCACAGCACAGTTCAATGTGTTATTTAAATCATGTTCCTGGTTGCAAATGTTTCAGATACATATGTGTGCGTGTTCTTACAATGAATTACGGCACAGTTTTGGCGCCACTTGAAATGAACGCAGCACTTGGGCTGTCTTTCTTTGTTGTCTAGGATTCCTCTTTTAAATTAAGCTCAGTCAGCAGTAGACATAGAAATGGCGGCTCCGTGGTGCAGTGGCTTAGCAATGAGTTGCGGCGCAAGGGCCGCGGGTTCGAATCCCGCACGGAACAAGTATTTGTATGGCCTACAAGTAAATGGTCCGGGTCTGCATATTTGTCCTTGTGAAGTTTATGTATGTACGAGAAAATCTTAGTGTGGAGGAGGTACTTTTTTTTTGAAAAGAAAAGAAAAAAGAACTAAAAAAGAATTTAAAAAAAAGAATAAAAAAGGCTTACAATACAAACGTAAACCTCATTACAATAAATCACAATGTATTCGTTATGTATTTGTATCAGTAGATTCTTTGCAGTTAAATTATGAGCATTCTCAATTCATATTTATTTGTTTTTTGATGCGATAAGTGGATGCTGTGGCCCATGGACATCTATATCTACCCTCGATTAAAAATGAAAATGCAGATGCGTTGCCACTTTTGAGGATTAAAATAAAATCCCTCGTTTCCAGTAAGAAGAGTCTCTCGGTCGGTTCTCCACACTCAACATTTTTTTAAATCTTCGCTCCGTTAATTCATCACCAAAAAAAAATTACATTAGGTATACTTAAACTTATTACATTATAAAGTTCTCAAATCAATAATTAATTACAGAAAGTTGAAGAAGATATGCATTTAGTTACAAAAAAGTAAAATGAAAAGTTCCCAGATCAATCACATTGAGAAGTGAGTGATCGATCCGAGAACTTCACCTTGTAAAGCTTGACTAATATCTTTATATCGTCAGAATGTGGCTTAGCTAAAATTATATTACAATCAGCGAAATCTTTTAAAATGTGGTGGCATTTATCATTACGAAAGGCAGCGTTGTGGGCACAATCCATCAAGACATGCATTAGGTCCTCTGGAACACCGCATTGATCACAATTCGGTGACTGGACCTTTTTCATAAGGAATGCAATGCATACACTCAACATATAAAACACAGCAGCATTAAGCTGCTATTTTACGCTGGTATGCTCTGAGAGCGTGGTCCTTTCTCGATCGAGACGACCGATTCGTGCTACAACCATTATATAGCTGCAACTTGGCTCTGTCACATATAAAATTTAAAGTAATAAAAAAGAATCTGTCACATATAAAATTTAAAGTAATAAAAAAGAATGTCACCATTTAATTTTTACATTTAGTCATATTATTATTTATTATACATATATTATACATATTATACCTACGTCCATTATAGACTACGAAATCATTCAACCAATGTGCCCCAAATTGGTTTCATTAGAAAAGCAATAATGCGAATATTGTTTTAGACCACTAAAACAATGCATTAGGCAACATATAAAAAGACAACGAAAAAAACAAAATTTTCAGTTTTGACAAAAAAAAATGTGTTTCTTATTTTAGCGTAACGAATTACATAAAACTAAAACTACACAAACCTTTAAAATAACTGTTGTTTCATCGTTTATAGATTCATCTTGCTCCATCATGCCACCGTACAGGACACCCGTCCCATATCCTTCTAAAATGCGCTCCGATTCTGCATCTAATACATTCAGAATCGCGTCCAACTCCGACTTTGAGACCCTTTCTGTTCCTATGTTCAAACCCTGTTAAAACAATGTGATTATTAACTATTGAGGCGGAGGAGCGGCGGGCGGAAGAAGTGAAATTGCTCACGGCTAAGCAACTCCTTCGATTCATTGAAGACATAGGGCTTAGCAGTGAACTATAGCCATAGCAGCGATCACAATAGATCTTCTAGGTCGCAGTGATACTGGTCTCTTTACCTAGACCTGCATAACTGCTCGCACATTAAAAAAAAACTATTGAGGCGCAGAAGTTTACTGGGCGGTAGGGCCTGTTTCTGCCAGCACACAACTACACTTGGACTGCTGTGTTGAAGTGTGAAGGGTACACAGAGCCAATATAATAGCATTCCTTCCTAGGCAACGCATCATCGAGAACAAGATTGTTTTTTTTTAATATGAGAGGAAGCTAACTAGCATGCGGCAGATCTGATGGTAAGTGACTACCACCGCCCATGAACAACTGCAATACCAATGGAATTGCAGATGCGTTGCCCGCCTTTTAAAAAGAGTAGGCTCTTTTCTTGAAGGTCCCTAAATCGTATCGGTCCGGAAACATAGCTGGTGGTAGTCGATTCCACAAACAAGTTGTGCGAGGAATAAAACTGAACTGTTTCCATCAAGGTCACTAGTGAAGCCTGTTAGCACGCCTCTACACTAAGTAAAACGCTGTTTGGTGACATTTTGCAGCACCAGCTTACATTCCCCATGTACGACTAGACTTGCGCGTTTTTATACGGTCAGAAGCTATAATATTCTATATATATAAGAGTTTCTTAGGCCCTGCGGCTCTATCAGTCATAACGTCGTAGGTAGTAAGCAAAAATTACATAAATAAAAAATAAATTAGAGAGATACTTCCATTCATTCTGTTGCGCGCCTAAGTTGATGTCTGGTACCTGGCACTAGCGCCGTATTGTGTCGGGGAATAGAGCGTCCTCGCTGGAAAGTTCCAGCGCCATCTCGTATCGAATAGAAGAACTAAGCATTCTGGAAAACTCCACACTCGAACTTTCTCCACCTAGTCGGTCGGGATCGGTATTTGCTGGAATATTCTCGGTGTCTCGATGGAAAAGGCCTATCTAAAGCCGTTGAAAGCCGCGATCGGAGTAGTATTGAATTGGCGATACGAGCGAAACTTTCGGAGTGAAATAAAGTGTTAAGTGTTAATAATTATTAGTGTGATTTAAGTTTTAATTGGTGTTCAGTAATTAAAGTGTCAATTTTGGTAATTCAATCGGCAGTTTCTATTGTCACGCACCCTAAGCTCGTAATAATTCACTGTATGCATTTTAACGACAAATTATTGCTGTATGCTATTCAAGTATGTCTTTTTGCATTGTGTGTCTTCAAGAAAACGGAAATCCGTTAAGCATCTGGTTATCCAGTAAGGTGGGGGATGGAATTATGTCATGTAATGCCTGCATACAATATCCAGTGTAGAATACTAAAGGCATTCTCGATTCAGACTGAGAAGACCGATTCTTTAAAATGGTTTTAAACAAATATGAATATAAAATATTACAAGTAATAAAATTAAAAAAATTATACAACCGACTTCAATATAAATAAAATTACAACATCATCAATGTGCTCGAAATCGATTAAATACGCATTATTAAGGGGTAACTCAAAAACTACTGGTCTTCTACTGGTATTCTTGATGAAATTTATATGGGAACACACGAAAAACATTAGCTATTAAATAAAAAAGAATCATCAGAAACGGTTCACCTTGAAGTCAGTTCTGAGGTAACACACATAAGTTGAATTGAGTACTTCCATCTTTTCGAAGTCGTTTAATTAAGGACGTGTTTCAATAAAAAGGACTACATACGAGCACTCGGCACACGTGGGTAAGGTGGTCGAGGAACACGGCGGTGTGGTGCAGGCGCACGTGGCGACACATGGACGTGTTACAATACAAAGGACTACATACGAGCACTTGGCGCACGTGCGTGAGGTGGTCGCGGAACACGGCGGTGTGGTGCAGGCGCACGTGGCGACACATGGACGTGTTACAATACAAAGTACTACATACGAGCACTTGGCGCACGTGCGTGAGGTGGTCGCGGAACACGGCGGTGTGGTGCAGGCGCACGTGGCGACACATGGACGTGTTACAATACAAAGGACTACATACCAGCACTTGGCGCACGTGCGTGAGGTGGTCGCGGAACACGGCGGTGTGTTGCATGCGTACGTGGCGACACATGGACATGTTACAATACAAAGGACTACATACGAGCACTTGGCGCACGTGCGTGAGGTGGTCGCGGAACACGGCGGTGTGTTGCATGCGCACGTGGCGACACATGGACATGTTACAATACAGAGTACTACATACGAGCACTTGGCGCACGTGCGTGAGGTGGTCGCGGAACACGGCGGTGTGGTGCAGGCGCACGTGGCGCAGCAGCTGCTCGCCGCGCACGTAGGCGCGCGCCGCCACGCAGTACATACAGCGCCGAGGCCGCTCCAGCGTGTGTGTCAGTACGTGCTTGCGCATGTACGCCTCTCTGTGGAACCGCTTCAGGCACACTTCGCACTCGTACGCTGCGCACCGCACCAACAAAACAATCATACATAATACAATTGTAAACAAGCAAACCTTCTCAACAATACCAACTATTCTTTATAGAATGGGGGTAACAAATGAACACACAGTCCACCTGATGGTAATTGGATGCTGCCCTATAGATTTTCTTCGATTAAGAATTAAAATGCAAATGCGTTGTCACCTCTGAAGATTATGACGAAATGTTTTGTTTCCATAAAGGTTCGTATCTACATTTTAATATTTAAACGAGGATGTAGGTGCCTATTAGCATAGCATCCCAATTACCATCCAATAACCCCAATTATCATCAAATTGACTGTGTATTCGCTTGTCACCCTTATTCTACAAAATAAAAAGAACAAGTTAAAAACATTACTACAGCGTCACCCATCGAATCCTAGCATAGCTATTAACTATCGTATAGACAAAACAAATGTGTGAATAAGACTTCTATCCGTCAAGTTGCTCACAATCACTAAACAGATGTATTAACGATTTTATAAATCTAAAGGGGGTCATTGTAGAAGCGTGCTCGTCGCGACCCCTGCCAGCCCTTTTCAGGGCTGCAATTCTACACAGCTGCGCACCCACGCAAACGAGGGTTAGGGCGTCCCCCCAAGGCGACGCACACCAGCTCGTCTCCGTTGGTGTGGAATGCAGCGCGCAAAGCGGCGATGGGGACCGCCACCCGTCACGCACAGCCCGACACGGCGGAAGGTGGAGGACGGAGTGCAGAGTTGGCACGTGGAATGTTAGAGGGGCATGAGAGATAAGACGAATGAGTTGATCGAAATAATGAAAGAAAGAGAATTAGATGTCGTGTGTATGTCGGAGACCAAACGGAAAGGCAGTGGTACTGAAGAGCTCCCTGGCGGGATGTTAGCTATATGGTCCGGAGTCCCGGAAAGCGAGAACGCCTGCCAGGGAGTGGGAGTGCTGTTGTCGTCCCGATTGGTCGATCTTATGACTGAATACAAGATTGTGAACTCAAGACTTCTCTGGGTTCGTTTCAAAATGGGACTGACAAAGTTATTCCTTTTGGCTGTTTATGCGCCGGTAGCTTCGTCGTCCAGGGCTGAGCTGGAGGAGTTTTGGGAGAATGTAAGAGAAGATCTAGATTTGGTTAAGGGAAACGAAAGAACTGTTGTATGTGGTGATTTGAATGGATGGGTAGGTATCGCTCGACCAGGATACGAATCGGTGCTTGGAAAGTTTGGCGATAAAAGGGTTAATGATGCTGGCAAGCTTATACTGGCTGTATGCAAGGAAAAGGGTCTTCTTGTGATAAACACTATGTTTAATCACAGGAAAATCCATATGTACACTAGAGAAAGAAAGAATGAGAGAAGTATGATTGATTTGTTCCTGGTGGATGACCGACTCCGAAAACAGGTGATGGATACACGAGTGTTCAGGGGTGCTGACCTGGGAACGGATCATTATCTAGTAATTACTAGATTTAGGGGTTTGTTCGCGGGTTGGCGCTACCGGACGGCAGTAACAGAACCACAGTCGGTCTGTCGCATCCCAAGCTGGAAGCTTCAGGAAGCGGATACTAGGGACAAATATCACACGAGGGTAGCCGAAAAGCTTGACACCATCGATGGCAGGAAAGAATGTGTGGAGAGAACATGGCAGAACCTTAGGGATGGAATGGTAAGTGCAGCGGAAGAAGTATGTGGAACGACAAAAAGAGGTAGTAGTAAAAAAGAGATGCATGGTGGAATGATGAAGTGAGAGAAGCTGTAAAAAAGAAGAAAAAAGTATGGTTAGACTACTTGGCCTCTAGTAACGATGAGCATATGAGAGAGAAGATGAAAGAAAGATATAAGCTGCAGAAAGTTCATGCGAAAACATTGATTGAGGAAGTACGTGAAAGGTGTAGAATAGAAGCGGACGAGAGGTTGTCGCACAACTTTAGGGAAAACTCCAAACTCTTCTGGAAAGAGGTTGGAAGGTCCCGGAGTGGTGCGACAGCCTTAAGAATGAACAAAGTGCTTTCGAGAACCAATGACGTCCTCCCAGAAAAATCGGACGTCATGCAGCGATGGAGTGAATTTTATAGAGAAATGTATGCGTGTCATGATCTTAGTGAAGGATCCGGGGGTGACGCCGTGACTGGCACGCCAGACACGGACCTCGATGACACTGAGGTCATCAGCATGAAAGAGATTGAACGTGCGATTCGAAGTTTGAAATGTTTTAAGGCTGCGGGACTAGACAGAGTTACTGCTGAAATGGTCAAGTACGGTGGGCCTCGCGTCTGGGACAGCTTCCATCTGCTGTGCAATTTGTGCTGGCGGACGGGAGATGTCCCGGATGATTGGCGATCCGCGGTCATTGTGCCTTTATATAAAGGTAAAGGTTCACATTTTGACTGCGGTTGCTATCGGGCGATCAGCTTGACCAGTTTAGCAAGTAAAGTTTACTCGAAGGTTTTGACACGTAGGATGCAAGAGAAATCGGAAAGATTCTTATGGGAGGCACAATGCGGATTTAGACCTGGAAGAGGATGCACGGATCAAATGTTTTCTCTCCGCATGATCACGGAGAAGCTTCTGAGTGTTAACCAGAAGATTTTCTGTGCTTTTGTGGATCTGGAGAAAGCATTTGATAAGGTTATAAGGAAGAAAATGTGGGAACTGTTGCCGGGATATTGTGTGGATGGTCGATTGTTAAGGGCTGTGCAGTCACTTTACTATGACTGTAAAGCCTGTGTGCGGGTAGGGCATGACCTGTCACCCATGTTTAGTGTCCAAGCGGGCGTAAAACAGGGTTGTGTCATGTCTTCCTGGCTGTTCATACTGTATCTCGACAGCTGTTTACAGAAGCTGAAAAATAGCTGTTTGGGTGTGAAATTGGGTGACATAAAAGTTAATTGTCTGCTGTATGCTGATGATGCAGTGCTTATTGCACCATCAGAAGCAGAACTGCAGGCATTAGTCACGTGTATGAAAGAGGAATGTGAAATTAAAGGTCTCCGTTTGAATGCTAATAAAACTAAGGTTCTGGTATTTGAAAAGGATGAAGAGAGAACGAAATGTGAAATATGGGTAAATCAGGAATGTCTAGAACAGGTAAATGAAATTGTATACTTGGGGAGTGCTTTCAGCCGGGATGGAAGATGTGATTTAGATGTGGATAGGCGTGTCGCTGCCGGAAACAAAGTCAATGGTGCCCTGAATGCATTAGTAAAAAAGGCAAGGCGTGGTGAAGAGTGCACGCCTTGCAATACATAATGCAGTGTTGGTACCGACTTTGTTATATGGCAGCGAAACCTGGGTATGCCAGAAGAAGCATAAAAGCAAGTTGAATGCAGTGGAGATGCGATCTCTTCGTAAAATGTGTGGCGTTACCTTAGCCGACCGAAAGCGAAACGAAGAGATTCGCAATATGGCAGGATTGAAAGATGACCTTATCACAAAAATTGATAGGGGCGTACTCCAATGGTTTGGGCACGTTGAACGAATGAGTGATGACCGAATGGTGAAGAAAATATATAGAGCGAAAGTAAATATTAAAAGGTGTCGAGGTAGACCGAGACTAACTTTCGAAGACCATGTGAGCAAATTGCTCGAAGAGGGGAGGGTCAAGAGTACTCGGATACCTAGACGTGCATGTATGAAGAAGTTAATGAACCTGAAGGAAGCGAAAGAGGTATGTAAGGATCGTGACACTTGGCGATCTGTTCTCTCTGGCTACCCCGTTAGGGATTGTGCGTGAAGATAAGTAAGTAAGTAAGTAATAAATCTAAACGATTATATAAATCTAAAACATAAATATAAATATAATTTTGTAGTAATTTTAATTTTATTTCATAACTTTACTCACATCTTTCTTCCAAATGTATTTTAACGTGAGCTTTAAGACTATTTGAATTGACAAATTCTTTTTTTGAGTACGAACAGTTTTCAAAGGGACAAAATAGTTTCTGGAGCCCCTTATGTTCTCTTACGTGAATTATTAATCTGCAATAAAGAATAAAATTTGATATAATTAAGAGATGGTGGACCAAACTACGGTTAATTCTAAAAATAAAGAGTTAAAACTGTGCCAAAATTAAATAGCAATGGTTTGTGGTGTATAAAAAGTGTATGCACGAAACACAAATTTTTATTTGAAACGTAACTTATCACATAGCTTTTGAACGGAAAACATACACACACACACGCACGCACGCACGCACGCACGCTCGCTCGAACGCATTAACATTAATTTAACGTTAATCCTTAACTTTACCATATATATTTATTTCAAAATAAATGCTACAGTATTTTCGGCATAACAGAGGATCATGCTAAGCCATTTGAGGTAGTATAGGCTCTTAATGGACGACTAGGCCGTTAATTAAATGCCATTGTTCAACTAGATGCCTAACGATGAAGTCAAATTACAATGACATTAACCTTAATATTTTGGGTGATGGAATATTAATCGTTTTAGTTTTATCGATTTTGTGAAACTTTCATTATTTGCCTTACAAACTGTCATCAATCCATCCATTACAGCCCATCGTCCACTGGTAAACCTCGGCCTCTCAATAGGTTCTTGTGGAACTCCCGCATCTGTTATGAAAATAAAGGTAGGCTACAAGAATTTAATTGTAAATATGTAAACAAATATTACTTAACATGCACTGCCAGCACTGTTGGATAGCAACCTATGTCACATGAGAGATAAGATACAGATTATCCACACCATAGAATACTATAATACATACATAATAGAACGGGGGAGTGGGCAGACCCCACGTAGCCACTAAAATGTCACTAACACGTCAATTCACACGTACACGAGATGTGTTTTGACGTTACAATCGTTTCCAAATTTCGCATGCAAATTATTTAAAAAATGCCAAATTGCACCCTATTTGTAAATAAATATGTATTAAAATTTAAACGATTTTTTAATGATGACCTTGAACATTAATCAAAAGACTAAATTTTGATTAATGTTCAACTCTATGGATTGCCTTATATTGTCATAGTTTGACACACTTAAGATTGGCAACCACAGTTTTCTATTACTTCGAGTCGTTATCATAAAGATGCTGCTGCTCATCTCGTTACATTTCCCTTTGTCACCTCTTACGACACCGGATAGTAAATTCTATCAAACCGCCTCGTCACGGCAAAACTTACAAACTGTGATACTTTGTCTTTAAGCAGGTCACTAAAAATAGATTCTTCACTATTTTAACGCTAAGCAATTTAGCTCAGCTAATACTAAGGCATGACCTGAATTTCCTCTAAATAAATGGCTAGCCTACTAATTATGCGGTAAGTGAATTAGGTGGGATGATTGATAATATTAAATTGCGCAAACGTACAAAGTTTTAATGTATAATTGTAAACATTACCCAGTTTTGTTCGGGAAGCCCTTGCCGCACTCTAAGCAAATGTGTCCAGTATGCTTTTCCATATGGCGATTTAGTTGCACCCGCTGGATATAGGAACATCCGCAAATGAAGCACTTGTGCGGCTTATCCTCCACATGAGTAAATATATGACGGCGTAATACTTCCAGAGTAAATGTCGCATAACCACACTGAAAACAACAAAGTCTCCGTATATTTTATTTACACTTATGCCTTTTACTTGTGGCAGTGGAAGGAAAAGGGGAGATCTCCCGCCGGGCAAGGTGTTCTGCCCGGGGAGCGGCCAACGCTCCGTGTGATAGTTCGGAGATGTTCTATATATACTGTTTATGATTCGGAATTTTGATAGCGTGATTTAGGCTTCGCTTCGCTTCGCTTAGGGCAGCTGGATCGAAAATGGCCCCTTTCCCCACAGCCATAGCACCTAGGGCTGTATCCTTTATTGCGGTCGCGAACTGTAGCGGCTGCAACCTCCCTGACGCGATGGAAGAAAAGATCCTGCCGCACAGTTTCCACCTCCAGTGCATGGGCCAAGGCGTCTTTAAGCGTCTCGTGGTGCCCGAGCCTCACAGCAGCTCTGACTTCCAGGTCGCGGATGCCGTCGATGAATGTCTGCACCAGGTTCCCTTCAATGAGCGCAGGTACAGACTAGTATGCTTTTCGAACCATCTTCTCAACCTCAAGGGCCCATTGCTGCAGGTTTTCATTGCTGCGTTGCACGCGGTCTTTAAGCTGCGCGCGAAAGACGTGTTCCAGGTGAGCGTCGCCATATCTCACCTCTAATGCCTCAAGGAGCTGCTCGAAGGTCAGGTTCTTACCGACAGCTTCCAACACAGTTAAGGCTTGGTCGCGCAGGCCTAGGGTGAGTGCAGTCATGGCCTGACTTTTATTCCAGCCGTTCGCCTCCATGACGGCCTCGAACAGGATTTTGTAGGCCGACCAGAAAGAAATCCCGTCGAACGGCGGCACTTTGAACCCACGTAGCGAAGGTGTTGTAGCTACTAAGGGGGCTGTAATTCCATCCCCAAATTTGAGGTCGTTCAGCGTTTTCTTCACGTCAGCCACGTTGTCAACCCGAATGTTCACTTGGTCGATTCGAGTGTTAGCTTCCTCGATTCGGGTTTCAGCTTCCGACAGGCGGTTGTCATGTTCAGCAACCCTATCCTTCAACTCTTTTTTATCTCTTCCCGAAGGTAGCGTGAATGTCCTTCATGAGGAGCATCTGCTCTTCCGACCGACGAGCCTGTTCCGCCTACTGATTTTTCAAACGAGGGGCCTGTTCCTCCTGTCCACGCTGCAGCTGCTCTTCCAACCAACAGACCTGTTCCTCCTGTCGGCGGGCCTGTTCCTCCTGTCGGCGGGCCTGTTCCTCCTGCTGCTCTTTCAACCAACGGGCCTGTTCCTCCTGTCCACCCCGCAACTGCTCTTCCAATCGGCGCGCCTGTTCCGCCCGCTGGCGGGCCTATTCCTGCAACATCATCATGAGAGCACCTAAGTCAGGTGCTGCAGGTGTAGGAGCTGCTGACGGGCCAGCCTCCCTGGTTGGCAGTTGACCCACCGACGTCTGCGGCGTTGCACCACCAAATCTTCTCTGGTCCGTCTCCTGCTGGCGTTGACTTCGAGTACGGATACCCTCCGTGTCGTCCTTAGGTAAAATCGGCATGATTTGATCCCACTTCTGACACCAATTGTTACGAGCTTGGGGTTCGTGACAATAAAAACTGCCGATTGAATTACCAAAATTGACACTTTAATTACTGAACACCAATTAAAACTAATTATTAATCACACTTAACACTTTAATTCACTTTATTTGGCTCCGAAGCTTCGCTCGTATCGCCAATTCAATACTGCCCCAATCGCGGCTATCACCGGCTTTATATAGGGCTCCTCCACCGAAACATCCAGAATATTCCAGCAAATACGGGCGCCGACCGACCAGGCGCAGAAAGTTCGAGTGTGGGGCTTCTAGAAAGCATAATTTTTCCATTTGTTACTAGATGGCGCTGTTGAGAGGATTCCAGAAAGATCTTGACACTCCTGTTTCTGATACCAGATGGTGCCAGTGCCATCAACTTTGGCGCGCAACAATATGTAACTGTCGTGACGTGAAACGCCTTGTAGTGGCGGGGGGGGAGGTGAGGGCTTATCAGTTTGTGGTGAACTAGGAGGACCCCACATGGCTAGCCCGATGTGAAGGCTGGCCCGAGGTGGCCTCTCCGAGTACAAACCTTTAAATGTGTTCTTTGCATCAATTAAAGGATAGTTACACCTATATTTCTTCATTAATAATAATACAGTTTGAAAACTACATTATAATATTTATAATTAGCTACAGAAATAATATCTCTACTTACCCCTTATGTTATTCCAAGAAAGCATTAACAAAAATTATAACAGTTACATAAATAAACATTTTGTAATTTATTTTAGTAAATAAATTTTACATTTGATTATTATTATTTTAGACACATACATAGTACATGATCAAATGGCGGATTTAATGCTAATAGCATTCTCTGACAAAATAGAATTGACTGAAAACAAACTGCAAAATTATTAACATGCATGTAAACACCAAAAAATTATATCTATGTAGCTGTTTGACATGCTGAGTGAGCAGCATGAAAGCAGAGAAAATTTATAAAAGATAAAATTTAAGATTTTACTTAAGATTAAATTACTCTTTTCCTTTCTTTTATTTAAAAATTACATAAACTAAACGCTGGACGAGAAAAATTTTATGCACAGATTTATTTCTAGTTTCATGTCTCAAAATATTCTATCCGTTAATTCAAGGGTAATTAAAGCCAAAGGGGCGCTGAGGCATAGGCGCCCATATATTATGTGTATACTATATTGTAAAATATTTACCACATCACATTTAAATTTCTTCTCCCCATGTATTTCTAAATGTTTTGTTATTGCTGCTCTGGAGCCCGTTACTTTTCCACAATGATCACATTCAAATTGAAGTGGTTTTTCTAAAAAAAAATGAATGTCACAAATATGTAAAAAAAAAAACATATTTAATTTATGGGTGTAGTTACTCTAGTTTGGAAGCCATATATCCAATTGTAAGTAATAATTTTGGAAAAAGAACATACTTACCCAAAGAACAATAGCCATTGTTCTGCTCAAGATAGTTCAATATTGTACATCCGGAAAATGTTGACTTGGTCAAAATTGATGTGGTGAACATTTAGTGATGTCTTCTTTTTTATGGAATAAATGTGACAAACGAGCTCACAGTCTGCCTGATGGTAAGTGGATGTTGCGGCTCATAGACATCTACATATATTCTTGATTAAGAATAAAAATGCAGATATGTTATCACCCCTGCGGACTAACATGGAATACCTCATTTTCCAGTTAAGAGAGTCTCCGGTTCTCTACGCTCACCATATGAAACAACGTAGCTGCTATTTTACGTTGGTATTCTGTGGGGGGTATTCCTAACCCAGTCGAGCCCACATACAAAAATTTGTGATGATGATCATTAGCTTCACAAACTGCAAAACTGCTCACAAAAGCTACTTACGACTAATTATTACTAGAGATGAGCCGAATATTCGTTTTATATTCGGTATTCGGCATATTCGGCAGCTTTACCGAATATTCGTATTCGGCCGAATATTCGGCTAAATCACCGAACATTCGTTAAAGTCATACTCAAAGTGTCCACTGTATTGAAATGTACTTAACGAGTAATATAAAGACATGGCTTTCATAATTTTAATTTTGAAAGTATATTTTATTTACGGGTTAAATTTACTTGTATAGCGTTATGTTTTTGAGGCACTGTAAATTTATTTCTAATTATAGCAAATAGAAAGCTTGATAATTTTTTTTGAATCAATAAAAGAAACATTACATTACATTAGTACATTTCACTTTACTTTGGTCGTTAGTTTCTCTAAAATAAGTCGAAATTGTAGATCTCCTGACACTCATTTTTATCATATTATTACCAATTTTCACTAAGAATAACACAACGAAATCCTTTTTTCTCACAAAAATAGTCAAAATATAAACATATGCCAGTAATGTTCTCAGTACTAGATGATACAATAACATGTCAGGTGTGGCGGGAGAGAGAGCGAGGGGCAGGGTCCGGTGCTAATCCCGCGAGGTTTACAGTAACAAGTTTCGACATAAATTGGTCAGGTACCGAGGCGATTCCGCAGAATCGGTTCGGTAAAAGTTTTACCGAACATTCGGACGAATATTCGTATTCGTTGAAATCTATATTTGGCCCATCTCTAATTATTACCAGCTTAACAGTACACTGTTCGGTGTGCGTTTCTTGATGAGATTAAATTGTCATATTTTTCATACAGCTCAGCAATTCACCTCACAGGCGTGCGCCCATACAGAAACGCACGCACGCAGGCACGCAGGCACGCACGCATGTACACATATATAAGCCCCGCACTTTGATATTGCGACTGGCGACTAGGGTTTGGGTCCCGGGACGTCTCGTGTCTCGAAGTCCCGGGACTTTTCGTAATTTTAGTTGTCTCGTGTCCCGAGACTTTCGGGTTGAGACTCGAGACGAGACAAGATTGTCGGATTTTTTATGTAATCATTTCTATTTTCAAATATTTTGCCAAGCCAAAGCCAAGCGCCATCTCATCTGCTAGCTTAATGAATAATTACTATGTCTCTAGGTAGCTACCGAGTACACAAGTTTGCCGCGCCGCCATCATGCCGCCTTATTGGTTGTTCTGTGAACTGTGATGTTTGGATTATGATTGTTTATGTCATTTGAGTCAGTTAGTCGTCAATTTCATTTATGATGTGAGTGTGGTGTGGTGTTTCTTTTGTAACGCCGCTTTTGTAAAATCGACGACGCCCATAAATCTCATGTAAGTTTAATAGGTCATGTTTATAAATGCTGGTTTTAAAGAACACCTTGTTCTTTTAGTTTGGTCGGGTTAAAACTCGCAAACTATTACGGTGCCGTGTATTATTTAATGTTATTTTACAAAGAAGATAATAATGTGATACTCACTCACCAAATAAACATATAAAATTAATTTTGGATTATTATTATTATTGTTACAGATAGATAGTTATAACTAAAAAATAATAATATGGAGCGTACACGTACAGCAAAAGTGTGGGAAACATTTTAAAAAAATAAACGAATCAACAGCACAGTGCTCGTTATGTCCAAAACAAATTTCATGCAAAGGGTCGAATACTTCAGGCCTTGACAGAGACCTCCAAAGAGTTCACAATATTTCTGTAAATCAACCGCTGGAAGAATCAAAATCATTTATACAGCCTGGTACATCTTGCGAACCGGTATCAAAAAAAATTAAACGTGAAAAACAGTCTGAAATTACAGGATATATTGCAAAAAAGTCTTTGCCTGAAATTATTTCCCGCTTGGCAGCAGAGGATGGACTTACTATAAGGGCAATCACAAAGAGTAAATTCATTCGTGAGAGTATTACCCAGCGAGGATATAAAATGCCTAAGAACGAGACTGATATCATGAAAATCATCTTGAATTATTATGAAGAAAAAAGAAGAAGAAATGATTCAGAATTTTAAAGATATTGTCGCTTCTGGTGCACGTTTCAGCCTTTCAGTTGACGAATGGACCAGCGTCCGAAACCGAAGGTACTTTAATTTGTGTTTGCATGGTAAGGATGGAGAAGTTTTCAATTTGGGATTAATCTATATACCAGGTAAATGTGGTGCCGAAGAGACCAGGAAAATAGTAGAAGATACATTAATAAGATTTAAATTGGTTTTTGAAAAACATATTGTGGCTACCACCAGCGATGGCCCAAACGTAATGAAGAAGTTTGGTAGGGAAAGCCCCAGCGAGATGATTTTATGTATGAACCACGCAATCCATCTAGGAGTCGTAGATACATTTTATAAAAAGAAAGAGGCTTCTACCACATCCACAGTTTTTAACTGCGAAGATAGTGAGGATGAATTCATGGAGAACTCTACTGATGATGAAACGGACTACGAAACAAACTACCAACCAATAGATAAAATTAAAAGAGTGCTTGATGAAACAAGGTTTTTAGTGAAATTATTTAGAAAAAGTCCATTGAAAAACAGCCAATTACAGAATTATGTAATAATAATAATAATAATAATATTCCACAACTATCACACAACGCCATCTAGTCCCAAGCTAAGCAGAGCTTGTGTTATGGGTACTAGACAACTGATAAACATACTTATATATTTTTAAATACATAAATATTATAGATAAATTACACCCAGACACAGAACAAATGATCGTGCTCATCACACAAGCATTTATCCTGGGTGGGAATCGAACATACGACCTCCGGCTTAGCAGTCAGGGTCACTAACCACTAGACCAACAGGCCTGTCATGTGAAATGTGAATTTCGGAAAGAACTCAGTTTACTACTGGATGTTAAAACAAGGTGGAATTCCATCATTGTGATGGCGGAACGGTTTCTGAAGCTCAAAAATTGCGTGACGAAAGCGTTAATTGATATAAATATGTTAGATAAGTGGAATGAAGACAATCTTCTTCTTTTGCAGTCAATTGTTGATTTGTTGCAGCCAGTTAAGATAGCTGTGGAAGCCTTAGGTCGACAAAACGCTTCATTACTTACAGCCGAAGCAATAATTGACGTGTTACTCAAAAAAATTCAATCGACAATGACTAACAATAATTTGGCTAAGCGGTTCTTCGAAACTTTGAAAGCTCGCCTAGAAGAGAGAAGACCACAACGAGTTGTATGCTTGTTGAAATATTTGCACACTGGCCACCACACCTCACAGTCTCAAAACACGGTCTTTTTCAACTCGAATATAAGTAAAACTGCACTAATTGGCTTTGCGGAAGAACTGTATTGTAGGCTTTTTGAAAATGTCCCTAGTATACGGACACCAGACATGGAAATAATGGGCGCTGAACTTAGTAACAGCAGCTCTAAAGTACACAACGAGCCTAACGATGACGAGTCCTTTGTAAATCGAATGGAACAAGCAATAAAAAATATTCAGGAAAGTGTACCCGAGATTCTAGAAAAAGAAACAAGAGCAACATTAAAAAAGGAGTTTCAGTTGTTTGAAGCAACCGGAAAACGTACATAAAGTTTGGAATTACTGTATAAAGCCTTAAACACAATAAAACCGACGTCTGTTGAAAATGAGAGAGTGTTTTCCTTGTCGGTGGCGTAATTACAAAAATCAGAAACAGACTGTCGGACAAAGCTGTTGACGCTCTGATTTTTTTAAAAGCCAATTTTATTAAATCACCAAAGAAATCGAATTATTGTGTTAGTTGACTATTTAAAAGACTGATTTGTGAGTCTGTTTTAGTATTTATACTTATATTATTTAATTATTAAACAAATCTGTGATTATATAACGGTGTATTATACCATGCTAGATACTAGAACTACTAGATAATAGTAGTTATTAAGAATTAGTATGATTTTCAACTAAGTTCGTTTTATAACTATAGCTTAAAAATGAATTTGTATGTGATTGAAAGAAGTGAACAAAGTAATTATTAAGACTGTCATTAACGTTAGTTATTAAGATTTAATTTTCTGTATATGTTTATTAAATGTTGACTTTTACACTAAATTGCCTTTTTTCCTCTTAAAATTTAAAAAAAATAGTCTCTTAAAATAAAAAACAAAAAATTTCATAAAAATCTCGAAGTCCCGGGAATTCCCGAGACTTTGATTTTAAGCTGTCTCGTGTCCGGGGAATTCGAAATTGTCGGGAATTCCCAAACCCTACTGGCGACCATCTAGTATAGTCGAATTGTCAGTACCGTTCGCAAGGTCAGCCAGCGCTTACGCGTATAGAGTACCTCTAACCACATGTTTTCATAGCTTTTTATTTTCGTTATCCTGTTTTATTTTTGTTGTTAATTTTTGTTATTGTTATCATACTTATTCTGTTACAATAAGTAAGCAAGTAATTAACAGTCATGCTCGTGAAATGATTATTAAAGTGGACAGTTATTTTGTAAAGGAGAAAGAAAATATTTATAATTAAATACCTATAAATGTATGTATATAATATAAATACCTATAACCCAAGGTTATTAACATTTTTCACCAGAGTAGGCATGTCGATTCACTCTTAAAAAAATCGATCTCAGAATCGATTTGAATCGAAGGTACTTGAATCGATTATCGATTAAATCGAGGATTAAAAGATCGATTTTCGATTAATCGCGACATTTTCAAACATGAAATTTCAAGAATTTTCGATTTTTTTTTCTTTAACTTCTAAACTGTTTTTTTTTAATTTTTTTAAATATAATATTAGTAATCTTATTGATTAACATTACTAATATTCCTTTTAACCACTCAAGCTTGAAGCGCTTGTGTTAGGAGTCATTCGCACATACTCCACTCGATCTCTTTTTTTACAAAGTGATTCCACGTAACACTTTTATTTGACATTTTAGGCTAAAACAACAACAATACTTTAACAGAAGTGCAAACTACAACGTACATTTCTCGATAAATCTGTTTCAATCTAATAACTCACTATTTATCATATCGAAATGAATGCTACACGAACACAATACTGGTTACTTCCTTACTATAAACCTCTATAAACTTCAACGTACGGTATAATATTTATTTACAGTATCTAGGTAAGTATTTATTTACAGTAGGTAGGTAAATTACTCTGTCTGTACTTACAGCTCATAGTATGTACGATAATGAATAATGTAAATTCACAAGTTCACAGTTCAAACAGGTTCACAGCTATAATATTATATTATAGTACAGGGGGTGAAATATAATATGAAAATATCGCTCGGTCGATCGAAAAAATGTTTATAGTTTGGGATGTAATATATATTACATCTCAGTGGAAACGGTTCCATTTAAAAGTACGGTGAGCGTTATTAATTTATATCTCGAGATGTAATATAAATTACATTATATCCCTTAGTGGAAAGTGGGCTTAAGAATTTTAGAAATGAAAATGAAATGACAACTTTTCGATATTGTTGGATGAAGAGCAAAAAATTAAAAAACTGTGGTATCTTACCCCATCCAATTTGGGAATTTTAGCTAGTTCTTGTATCAAATGAATCGGTCCGATTCAAGAGGTTTTTAGATCGATTCAGTGAATCGATGCGGTGCTTCGAATCGATCTAAAAAATCGATAATTTTACTCCAAAGAATCGATTTTTCGATTAATCGATTTTAAATCGACATGCCTACACCAGAGGTGGCAACACCTGACACGAAAAGATAGATAGATAGATAGATAAAAGTGTTATTTGTTTCTCCAATTATACACGTAAATTCAGTGACTAAACTAGATATACAAATCAAAGTATTATGAAAAAAAAATTCATAACTTAAGATCTAAATGTACATGTGTGTTGTAGTTTAGCAAATGGCTCATAGCTCAGCGATTAATATTGCTCAGAGAGCAAACACTGATTTTCAGCTATTACCCTCGAGGTGGCGAGAAGAAAATGATCACAATAGTACAATCAGAAAGAAAGAAAGAAAAAACTATTTTTTGCACGTTAATATTATTGTAGTGTAAATATTTGTGAATGATGTGTCCTTTCTGCTCCACGATTTATATCTTGGGCTTAATTTAGTAAAAATTACGGAAAAGATATGTAAGACTGCGTACCCAATTAAGGCTAAATGACTTAGCCAACCACAATGTGTTAGTAAAAGAAAAAATAAAATGCCATGGTTTATAGCTGGCAAACAAAGTGTTTGGGAATACCTTGTTTTTGTTTATCTAGAAGATATCTTTTGAATTTATTTATTTTTTAAATTTTATTGAAAATAAGATTAAAGTTTTTGTTGTCTGTACTTTTTGCGGTTGGTGACGTTACGCAGCTCTTATTGTGACAAGGTTCCATCACAAAATCAACGTGCGGGGCTTATACACACACATACATACATAAAATTTATCTGAAGTATTATGTTAAAGAATTTTTATTTTTGCCAATATCTATTTTCTTTGTATATTTATTGTGGGGAAAGACACAGGCACCTGAGATACAAGTTCACCTAACATTAAGAGTCAGTGACTTCACAGATATTTGTAGTTATTGGTGAAATAAGCTTACTATTATTTATTGTTAATATGTTTATTTAATTACTGTACCAAATGTTCACTCGTTTAATGCTGCTCCTTATTGCGGCCTTTCTATATTGTGGATGGTATACAATAAAATGTTTATAATATGCTATCAATCGGAGACCACAGGATCTCTTTAGTTTCCCTTAGTATACTTACAAGACTCAGCATAATAGATGGGGTGATTATTTTCTTTATCCTACTTAAAAGCTATGAAGTATGCTATGAAGTATTATAATAATAGATGGAAATGATACCTGAATGATTTTTCTGCACATGAATGATTAATTTTGAGAAATTTTTAGTATGGTACATGCAGTGTTTACATGTGAACTGATCTCTAGCAATATGTTGCAATCGTAAATGTACCATTAAGTTGTCTTTCCTAGTAAAAGTGGCATTACAAATCTGGAAATAAAAAATTGGTTAATTTTCTTGTGAATTAGTGGTAATATTTAATAATTAATATACAGGGTTATTTTGCAATATATGCCCAAATTGGCAAGGAAGGTTAAGAATAAGTATTATAAGCAAATGGTGAAGAAATATTCATTAAAAATCTCTAACATTCTGGCCTTTTTATCTTTTAAATTCGGAATGCCTGGTAATCTATTATTTTACTATGCACGCACACATTCATAAGGGTCACTTGGTCGGCAAAAACTTTGTAAATTGAATTGCAAACAGAGGAGTATACGCATAGTTGTTGCCCATAAATCACATTCAATATTGGATAATTTCATGTTAAAGTAGGAGCCTTATTTACTCTTATTTTCAAAAACTACAATAACAATATATTATCTTAATATATATATAAATTATGTGTCACATTGGTGATCCGCGATGGACTCCTAAACTACTAAACCGATTTTAATCAAATTTACACACCATGTGCAGTTTTGCCCAATTTGAGAGATAGGATTATTTTTTTGCCCATAAGTGACCCACAATTTTTTTTTGCGAAAATATGAATTTTTAATAGGGCATGACAGTGTCGTCGAAAAGGGCAGAACGTCTGCCTGGTAAGCTAGTTATTTATATATTTGAAGTTACTAATAAAATTTGGCTACTCTTTAAAAAATAACCCTGTATTTAAGTGATAATTAATGTCAAACATACTTCACAAAAGTGAATGGAAATTCTTCCACCACATCCCCTTTGATTCATGTGTCTCATGACATGAGAACGACGGGTGAATTCTTTGTTGCAATTGGGACATACATGTGATTCCCTCTCATGATAATTATCAATATGTTTCATTAAAGTTTCTTTGTCTGGACAGGTTACAGGGCAGAGATGACATGGAATACTACCAGGAGCTTTGGAATGTTCATTCTGTAAATGTGCTTTATAGCTTTCTCTAAATCTGAACTTCTTCTTACATTCTTTACAACTGAATGCAGGCTTGAAATATAAAAATACAAATAAAATATAATATATTATTATAAGCAATTCCAAAAACTCTTAAACAACTTATAAAGCAATAGAGCAATAAATGAAGTAAATAAAGTTCACATGAATGAAATTCGTCACTGTTTTGTGATGCAAATGAACCTTCATGAAATGAAAATTCACCATCATCATCATCATTCCACACACCTTCTGCAAGTCTACCGTTGATCATAGGTCTTTCTTCAAAGAATGAACACAGTCATGTCATGTCTTACTAGAAGCACAGTCATGTCATGTCTTACTAGGTCATCACATTATCTAGTGACATCTGCACTACACTCCACTTCTTGCTATCAAGACACTTTCTTCCCAACCAATTGTATCTTTAAGCCAATCTCTAACGGCGATAACGCTCCCTTGTGGGCGTTGGCGACCTATAGGGGGACGTTAAGGGGCCCTAAAGGGAGCAAAAGTGGGGGGCGTTGGTGTGGTTTATTTTTTTATTTGTTGGTGTGGTAATGGTTGATTAATTATAGTAATTTCATTTAGATACTTTATATTTTAAAATTTACTAAAATTAAAACCCACCTTCTACTCAATATCGAATAATTAGTTTATATTTATGCTGTATAATGATATATAAACTAGAAATACTTAATAATAATACTTAATAATACTAAAGATTATGTAGGATAGCCCGTACGCCGTACACTATCAAATTGTAAAAAGTTTTTGTTAAATAACTTCTCTTTAATAAATTGTTCGTTATTGGTGTAATCTAGTAGCAATCGGCTGGTTTATCAATACTTTACTTAACTTGCTCAGTACCATTGAGCATCAAAAGAGATAAACAAGTTTGTGTGTGTTTGTCTAATTCCTGTCGGTGCATGCTGTATTTAAATCCTATATAAAAGCTAGTAATAATTTTCATATTGTCATTAGTGGTTTTGCGTGCAATCTTTTAACAAGTATTTAAGTTCAAAACTTTATTTACATATTTGTAAAAACAAAACCATGTTGGAAGCAAAAAAACTCTTCTTTTTTGCTTCTGACATGGCTTCGACAATATATATACGGCAATATAGTGCAGAATAAATTAAATATGGATTCATGGGAAATTCAACAAATCCATCTTTGCATTTGTGCCTTCGCTGTTCAAAAACATTTTTTAACAAAACGATGAAGCTTTCAAGACTTCAAGATTATTTGAATAAAATGCATCCAGATAAGAAGGACAAAAATGTAGCCTATTTTCAAAACCTGGAAAAGAAGCATAATGCTCAACCAAGTGTATCAAAACTTTTTTCGGTGGCTGCTAAGCAAGAAGATGACGGACTTCGAGCTTCATACAATATCTCTTTGTTAATTGCTAAAACAAGTAAAGCACACACCTTGGAGAAATGTTAATTTTGTTGGCAGTAAAAGAAGTTATAACTACTGTGCTCCATAAACCGGAGGCAGACATAATTTGAAAAATTCCTTTGAGCAAGTTCTGTGCAAAGATGAATTGATGAAATGGCATAAAACATTGAAGAGTCATTGTGCACTCATGTGAAGATTAGTCAATTTTCAATTCAGTTGGATGAGCCCACTTTACCAACTATTGAACCAATTTTGCCACTTAACGTGAGGTTTATTAAAGATGAAAAAATATGTCAAGAACTATTATTTGCTAGCAATTTAGAAACAGACAAAAGCAAAAACCATATTTAAAACACTGGAAAATTTTTGTGATGAAAATGGAATTTCCTCGAAGAATATTATACCAGCTGCGACAAAAGGTGCTCCAGCTATGACGGGATGTCAAAAGGGATTCATAGAGTTCTTAAAAAACAAAATTCCAGATGTGTTTGCTGTACATTGCATTATACATTTACATTTGTTTGTTAGATATTTAAGTGTATAATTTTTGCAACATGTCATCAGAGCAATCAATAAAATCCGAAACAACTCTTTAAATGATAGATTATTTAATCAGCTTTGTGTTACTAATGTCGAAGATTACAACCAATTGATCTTTCAGACAGAAATGTGTTAGCTATCAAAAGGAACAATTTCAAATTGTAAAATCGAGTCAGACAATTCAGACTCAATTTTACTACTGTTCTTAAAAAAATGCAAAAATACTTTAGTAACTTCAACCTTCATTCTTTCAAAGTATATTTTAGAGCAATAAAAATTGATGTAAAGTTTGAGTGTAGTTTAGATAGATATTTTACAACTCAATTTATCTTTTAATTAATTATGAATTATTGTTTATCAAGTAGCTAAGCAAGAAGCTGTAACAAATCTTTTATATTACCTTAACAATAATATCTGAGTCCACTGCTTTTTTTGGCACCTTTTTCTTATGTTTTGCTAAAAGAGTTTTTTTGTTTTTAGAACCAGGAGGTCGTCCAACTTTTTTACGCTTAGGGGGCATTCTAAAACATAGAAAACCCAGGATATGAAACACTCCTTGAAAATAAGTTATTAACAAGTTAGCTCACATAACATTTGATATTACTTTCACTCAGGCGCTTATTTGATTACGAAAACAATTATGGCTGCATAACCTTCTCAGTTCCGTTTAATTCGTCTGCCATAGATTATTAATTTATGTAATTTATCTGCATCTATCTACAAATTTGTTATGTAAAAGCACCTCTAAATAATGTGTATATAAAATTCTAAATAGCTTGACGAAATAATAAACCATAGTTTCATATCTATATAATTTTAGACCATAGTAAATTGAACTGTCACACAAACGTCACTACAAACCTCAACTCCCAAAACACAAACTCGTTCCGCCACGTACCTATAAAAACCATAGTGTGGTCACTCGTTACAGAGTACATTATAAAGGCCTCCGCGCACATCTTAAAGAAAATATAGTTTTAAGTCATTTTGAATATATACAATATCCTATTGCATAAAATTTAGTTTTATTGATTATAGGATCCCAAGTAGGTGGTAATACCCAGCCTCCTTCTCTACTGAAATTAGGATGTTTTTTAATTTCAATAGCCTCATGTATCATCCTTGGTAGGAATCGGTGTTCTTTCGCGAAATAACATCTATTCCTACTAAGCGAAAAACTAAACCCAAGCATACCACTGTCAGACATCAAGACATAGTTCATTTTGCATAGATCGGACCATAAACAATAATTAAAATAGCTGAAGGTACTCCGGGTTTAACAATGACATCGGGACGTCAGTCACCTCAGTCCCCCGTGACCGTAGACAGAGAAACCTATAGACAAATTGACGCCTTCTTTCGGATTCGCACACGATAAAGATAGATTTATGCATACGTCTTGCATAGAAATGAGACAGAGCGGTGTGATTGTCCCTTTCTCCGTGCCGGTTTTTTTTTGTTTAGCAAACTACACTTTGCTAAACAACTTTGACAGTTCTTAATGATCTAAGGAGTTTAAAAGTTGGTTTAAGTGAGAAAAAAGTGTTTTGTGAGCTAAAGATTGGTGAATCATGTTCAGTTCAGTTCTTAGAACAACTAAAAATGTTATCTAAATATGTTTAAAAGTCATAAAGATTATTGTATAACCTAAAACTACGTTATCGTCCTTTCTCACTCGAGGCCATGCTAATCATTAGTCTATTGGTTTCTCTGTCTACGCCCGTGACCATGGGTGCTGGAAAGCACCCGAAACGTCGGGAATTAAAAATAAAAATAATTAAAATTAAAATTAAACGCCATAAATCCGTAAAAGTAGTTTTAATCAATGTGTAGTGTTCGCGTAAATATAAGAAATCATTACGTAATTTTATTTTGCAGTTTGTCAAACATATTCCCTCTGGTTTCTATAATTGAATGCATGATTGTAAAACCCAACCTCAGACCGAAAGCGAAAGTTTAAGAATAACAATGAAAACTGTATGGTGTAAAAAAATGAAGTCCATGTTTTTCTTTTTTTATTATTTATGTTGAAAAATATTTAATATATGGTATGTTAAAATGTGGGTGCATAATATATTCATAGATTTTTTTATTGGATTTTTTAAGGTTTGGGATGAGGTGGATTTTTACAGTCATCATGTACAAGGTGTATTTTTACAATCAAAGTCCAATTTGTACGAATGTTTAATAATATTTATTTTCATAAAAAGCTAACATAATTAATCTAATTCCTTATCTTCGACATTTTCAGCTGTTGATCATTGCAATATTTCATCCCAGAATTTAATTTTTTTCGTCTTTAGGCACAAACTTAACGCATTTTTTCAGATCTTGCATCTTCTTTGCCTCAATGCAGAGCTAGCCATGTGCAGGTTCATTCGATAGCGATACGGCGATCTGTGGCCCTATCTTCAACAAAAATGTATGCTTTGTCAGTTCATCAGTGAATTCCGGCGTTGCGTTTTTACCGACACATCACCGCCCATCTTTTTGAATGTGAGGTGATGGAAATATGAGATACTGAAGCTTACTTACTCCATTCTCGGAATTTGCCGATACTTTGTTTCAAGCGATAGTGCAGTCTTTTTGAAATGTTGAACCCACCATTTTTTAACTGTAATAAAATCACTCTACCTGCTCGAAGATACGATTAATTCCATAAGTTCCTGTACACTGTACAGCCTCTGTTTATGAAAAAGGCTTCTTTTTGTAATCACAAATGCTCTATTACACAGCAGAAAAGAATGGCCACGCATCGGAAAGATCTGTTGAATTGTTTTGAAACGCCCACTCAACTATGGCTATATTCATTTGTACTGCTGTACTGTTTTTATTTTGCCCTGCGCAGTTGTCAGAAAAGAGCATTAGTTCTACAAATTTTATGTCGACGTACTCTTTAATGTATGTCATAATAAACGAGCATACTTCGTTTGGTCCCTTCTTTGCTTGCCCTTCATGATATATGAACAGGACATTTTTACCCGTTTTCAAATTGTGGATGCGGAAGATAGAAACGCTCAATTGCCATAAATAAAATATTTCTTGCACTGGAATTATTGGCAGTGACACATTCTGTATGTAATCGTAGAAAATTCCCAAAAACGTTTCGTCTTCTTGGGATCTTTGCTTTGCTTCTTGAAGTTTATTATAGAGCTTCTTTGTCCTCCTTTTGTGTACTAGCTTTTCGGCCAAAGCTACCTCTTTAGCTACGTATTTCAGGGGTTTCGAATTGATTTTCAAGTCTAGACTCTCGCAGAGGTAGCACATACTATATACTGCTGGTCGTCCAAAGCGAAGAGCGAAGTTTTCCCTGAATATTTTATTATAATATTCGTACTTAATGCTAGTTCCTGTGTATTTTTCCTTATAAAGTCGAAATTTTTTTATACTGATAAGTCAGCAGGAAGGTACTTTATTATGCCTGAAGAGTAGTGGCTCTCTTTTGCTGGAAAACAGGATATATGAGAGATCACTGCAGTAATTTCATCACCAGACGTCGCATTGACTGTTTTCGATTTCCCTCTCTTGTCTTCTGGTATTTTACCCAAAGCCAACAAGTCACGGAGCCTCTTAACACGGTCCTTAGTAATACCAAACAAGCTAAGAAAAGCAGAATGGCATAAATTTTCTTCTCATTACCAATTTAAACGGCTTTTGTAAACATTTTCTGTCTCAATGGGATCTCCTTCAGCACTCGGTGGCGTTTTATGTCCTTACAGGATATTAACCCCTGGAAATAGATATCTTGTTCATTTTTGGCGCCAAGTTATATAATTCGGCAAGGTTTTCTAATTTTTAGCACACTTTTTAATTTTTAGAACACTATTGTCTTAGCCAGTACAGTTTAATTTTTTGCCGTCACGTAAGCCTGCCCATGAATACGTGCTTGTTTGAACTTATTCCGAAAATAATCAGCAGAGTTATCACGTCGTTTTTAGTGCGTGTTTCACCCGAGGAGGACTCACCAGGGTTTAAATAAATTACATTTTCCTCCGTTTCAGCACTCATTTTCACCATTAAGTAGTAAAATTTAATTTAATTTGTGTAATACAAGTAATTCGTGTCCGTTACAGTCACCTAAGTTGTTCAAACCTTAGAGAAATTACATACATACGTATGCATAGAGAGAACTTACAATTCTACATAAATTGAGTCAATAAAGTTGTCTTGCTTTTTCTAATTTAATTTTCAAATAAGTCAAAAGTAACAAATATATTCAAATATGTTGCGTATAATTCATGCGTGGAAAAAGAAATGTCAAGTGGTCATCTTTGGTCTCCTTTTACACTACTAAATAAAAAAGATAAGATCGTATTTATTTTCTCCCAGATCGTACTGGCTGATTTATTTAACAAACATTTTAAATTAATTATAAACAACAACAACAACAATTACATACACACACACACACACACATATATATATACAACAAACAACAGTTAATTATAAACAACAATTTAAATTAAGTCGTATTATTTATTGTTATGTTTGATGTCTGTTGTCTTTAATATTTTACTAAAATATTATTATAAAATTATCTTTTAATAAAATATATCAATAGAGACGGTTAGTTTTATACTAGGATGCAAATCTCATTTTTCCGTAAGGAACATGGTTCAGAATTCGTAAGCTTCCACCAGTGTGTACGTTTCTATTATCCTAGAATTAAATTACATTATAAATGTAAGTAAACTGCATTTCAAATTATTTTGAAAATAACAATTCGGTTTTTGTGAAAATGAGTGCATTTGTTACATATAATCGCTAAAATACATTGAAATAAAAATTTATTTTAAACTATAGTGATGCGGTTTTAAGGTATATCAGCAAGGTCGACAACCCCACATCGAAATTCTTTTTAATATTTTCGTTATTTTAGTATGCCTAAAAATGATAAAGAATTGGGAAAAAACTGGATGAGAGTAATTCCACGGGCACAAAACCTGTCGTAAAGCGACAGTTAAAAAACTAAAGAACCTAACCTAACAACGAAACAACCAAAAAGAAAATAATTTATTTAAAATTTGTAAAGATATTTACAGTTTCTTTTATAAAATGTAAAGCCACAATTAAAAACTATAGAACCTAACCTAACAACGAAACAACCAAAAAGAAAATAATTTATTTAAAATTTGTAAAAATATTTACAGCTTTTTTTATATAAAAAAAAGGTATGAGGGTGATGATGGGCTGTAGTGATGATAGTGAATTACAATTTAAAAAAAAAAAATAAAAGTTAATAAAGATAAATGAGTACGGAAACAATGTATGTACAGGCTATGCCCGTGGTAGATGCACAGCGCCTAATCTAGGTACACGCAGCGTTTGAACACACACAGCGACCAGAATGAGCACACACAACACCCGGAGTAGACACACACAGCGCCTGCAGTAGACACGCAGCGTCTGGAGTAGGTCCACGCAGCGTCTGGAGTAGGTACACACAGCGTATTGAGCAGGTACACGCAGCACTTAAAGTAGGCACACACACACCGCTCGGAGTAAGCACACACAACGCCCGGAGTAGACACACACAGCGCCCGGAGCGCCGGAGACACGCAGCGTCTGGAGTAAGAACACGCAGCGCTTGAGACAAGCGCGCACAGCGGCCGAAGATAGCGCGGGCACTAGTAGGTGGAGGCGTAGGCGTGGCTAGGCGACGACTTCAGGAGAAGGCAGAGGCTTGCAAGATCCCGAGTCAGTGCGGATAAAGCCTTTAAGAGGTGCTTCTCGTATCAAAGCTGAAGTGAGAACCTCTATTGGCCGATTCCTCGGCTTTTATACTTTTTGACGGATCTGGGATAAGAACGAGAAATTATTTGAAATTATTTAAATTAAAAGCAAATTTTTGTAAATGGCCAAGAAGAAAAGAGTATTTTTGAAGTAAAAACATCAGGCCGGTAATAAAAGATATTTGAATAAAAATTGCCATGACAACCAGATAAACAACGATGTCAAAACATGTCAAATTTTGGTTTTAGGCTCGTAATAGAGAAACGGCAAGATTAAAGTGAAAAATAAGATATTATTGGTATAGGAAAAAAGGTAGCGCAAGAGCGCGCACGAAGCCCAAAATTGCAGAGTTACTGAGAACTAAATAAAAGATCGAAAAAGGTAGACTCCATTGACACCGATTTATAAAGTGCTGATAGCGTGAAAAAACGAAGTGAAAATGATTTGTTATTGTGTTCTTATGGTTTAAAAAACGTTACAGGTACCTATGGAAATAAAGGTGATGCAAAATATCCAGTTTTGAGATGAATGCAGAAAATCAAAAACAGAATGGAAAAATAAATTTAAAATAGTGTAAAATGGTATGTAAGTAGCATAACACTACAAACCATTGGACAAAAAATAGCTGCATTTGCTCAAAACACTTCTCCAAACATTGTTTTGTTAACTAAGGGAAATAGTGAAGGCTGGAATTAAATGCAATTCCTATTTTATATATCGGAAAAATACAGCTATTATATTTAATTTTATTTTTAATTACGAATCATTTAATGTCAAAACAGCATATTATGGTCAATGGCATTCCAACATGCGAATAGCATTATTAATAATAATATCATTACATCCGTTTTGAAACTCCAAATGTGATCGATGTTTTAGGAACCAGAGGAGATTATGGATACTTCGTCCCTCACTGGAAGTAAAAAATTTTATTGAATGTGAGAATATTGTAAGCACTTTTGAAAGTAACTGGCTGAGAACTATTAAATTATAATATTTTATATAAAATGAAAAAATAAGTTTGCAATTATTACTTCACAGTAATTTTATAAACTTCATACCGATATTAACAATCTAGAACCAGAACTAATGAACATTAGTAAAAATTTAGCTCCATCCACAAGTTCAAATTGTGTCTTAGATAATTTACGTCATACATAAGTAGGAACAAAAATTAGCTAAAGCTCAGAAGCTTTCGAGAGACCATCTACTGAAAATCACATCTCTCCAGCAAAGATTGTGGAGGCTTAAAAAGAAAAACATAACCTTAAATGATAGATTGCAAGAAATCCTAAACAACAAAAGTTTAGGAAACGAGAAAATACTTACGTTGGACGCAGTAACATTATCATATCTTAAGTCTATTTTCTAAGAAGGTATAATATAGTAAGTATAATAAAGTATATACGCGAGAATTCTATAATTCAAATGCCTTATAAACTTTGTCTGCATTATTTTAATTTGTAAGTTATGCGTAATATAATAGGAAGAACAAATACTACTAGCGTAATAAACACTTTTGATGCAGTTTTTGTCCGAAAAACGTTTGCAAGTACGTAGAACAAAGCTTTGACTTAAGCTTTTTGTACGATTATTTTTACATGTTTTGTTATAGCCAGCTTCTTGTCAAGGGTACCAATTAGTATTTTATTTATTTGCTTCATCTATTTTACACACCTTGTGAGGGATATAAAATGCCGACTTATTACCTTATAGCATTCTCTACCAGTTAACCCTGGACGATTTGAGAAACTGTAGCAGGTATAAAGATTTTACTAAATTATATGAGTAATGTAGATATAAGATACAATAAACAATTTAAGTTATTTCAATACCTACAGTTAAATTGTTTTATTTTCTTTGCAAATAAATATTTTGTTTGAATTTTTACTTTGTGTTATTTTACTCACACCTAACTAATGTAAAGCGTATAAAAAGCGTTACCTAATTTGAAAAAACAGAATTTTTCTTAGTGGGTTTTATGATATATTTTAACTTTATAGCACGATCGATCTGAATTACAAAATTCACCCAAATTGAAACAAAATTTAGCAAAATTGATTCTAAATCAAACGTTTTTAAGTTCCATTGCTGAACACTTCGTCCGTAGCAGGTCTTTCCTTAGTTGGTATCCTAACTTAGTATTTATTTAAAACGTTATATCATTAAAATAATATTACGTATAAATTTACGTTATATCGCAATATCATTAAAATGCAAAATTTTTACCATAGATAAAACGAGTTTATCGATAAGGCTTTTCTATAGTTATCACTAGAATTGTCTATGGTGAAAAAGCTAACAAAACGTCTACAACACAAACTAATAAGAGTATGGTCTACAACCTTGTAAATAGGCCTGGGTCGTATCGCGTTTTCTGAGAATCGTATCTATATCGGATTTCGAGTTTCTATATCTGATGTCAAAACTATATATTTTAATATATTCTGCGTACGCGTTTATACTATTTTCTACTCCGATACGCTGTTGAAATCGTATATAAGTTGGTAATTCAAGACCATCCATAATCGACTTCTTGCTTAACTGTCTAGCGTCATCTAGCGTCATTTTTGCGTACCACCTTCAAAGCTAATCTATTTTCGTTCGATAAAATGACTTTACAAATCAGTTTTCCAAATAAAGTATTTTTTTAAACATCAATACAACCATGTATTCTTTTGATTTATTTCATTAAAATTTAGGTTTCACATGTCTAAAAATAAGGATTGTAACAATTACTTGCTATACTTAAAGTTAAACTTATATCAATTATTTAATACTGAACTTGTGGTTGAAAATTATCATAAAAATAAATCGTTTGCCGTTAAAACTTTTTGAAGTGTTGAAAACGCTTTTGACTTAATTCATTAGTGGTTGATGTTAAACCATATGTATTTTGTTGTTACGATATTGGCTCAGGTTTTGTTTTATACTAATTTTAACGAAGCGCGTCAGTTTAATATTATTTATTTTACATTTTTATCAAAATATTTTAAAAGATATAATAAAAAGTTGGATAAATAAATACTAGGGATGTTAATTAAGATTTTGTGAAATTGTGTTTTTATTATTTAGTGTAGTTTACAAATATAAGATTTTAATTTTCCGACATGTCTAATCTAAATACTCACGCACCGTCGCACACGGCAAATCTAGCCACCGACCTATGAGGAGCGATATAGGTATTGCGGCGGTATATCAGATTTTGTATAATATATAGTTATGGAACGAATCTAGCGACCGACCGATGCGAAGCGATGTAGGTACGCGGCGCG